TCCTCACCTGATAAATTTCCAGATAGGATGCTCTGACTAGATACTGCTGGTTCTGTGTACGGGCGATATGAGTGAAGATGTGCTCAAAGGAATTAGGGATAACCCCTCTGGTCTCGGGATCTGACCTCACTCCTACAGATACATGTACAGGTAATATGACGATTTAATGTTGAAAATACAGGCCAACTGAATTTAAGCCAAATTGCAATATGTACATGTACATGTATGAGCTTCATAGTTTTTAAAGCTTTGCGGACAACTACATTGTAGTGAGGCAAATTAGAGAAATCCATGCTTTCCAAAGATCCAACTGAAATTCCAACTTTCCACTGAGCATTAATACAATAACACATCCTTGACAAACAAAATTTTGGATATTACGCCTGAAGTACTGGTACATGTGAAGCCACATTGACCGGGGCTGTGCAGAATTTAAAGCAGTCAAATGTTGCAAGGCTAGCTGGTCAATTTATGGTGCTGCTAAGCCACAAACTCATAGAATGAAGTTTCCGCCTGGTATCCATCTGATTTTTGCTTAGCACATAAGCCTGTTGAGCAATCATTTTTGTTTGGCATGTATTGACAGTTCCATGAAACTTGGATGCTGTTGTAACACTGTGGCAGATTAAAGAGAGCTACAGGAAAGGACGGTGCACTGCAGCTTCCAAAATGCAAATTCTTCCAAAATGTTGGTATTAACTCTAACCATCCTGAGGCTGCATGGCAAAACTGCACTGCTGACTGCGAAGGATGCATTGTATCAAGGTTGTGGGTTAGACCTTGTGTTGTTTATCTTCAGCCATGCATAAATTCATGCCCACATTTTATGTGAAACCGTTCATACTGTTCCAAGATGCCACACACAATGCCTCAATATGATGAGAAAACTATCAGAGAAAGTTGAAGGATTGAGGCAGAGGACAACCTCCCAATGAACATATTCAAGAAATATCACAGGATTTTGGAGGACTGACGTTGTATCAGTATCTTAGCCAAAAGGGCCTAGGCTGTTTGGGTTAATTTAGATTATTGTCACACACAATGCAAGTAACTCTTGAGAATGCAATGAGCAGCACTGAGCCTACCTTCCATGGTGTATGTCTTCCCTGTTCCTGTCTGCCCATAAGCAAATATCGTCCCATTGAAACCATTCAGGACAGACTCTACCAGACTACGGAATGTTTCGTCATACAGCTCTCTCTGTTTGGAACTAATAAAACAAAGTCAAAATATCTCTGTGAGTTTAATATCTATGGAAGCTTAGGGAAACTTAGGACATTTTAAGTCTTGAAGGAATTCTTCATTGGTAATACAGACACTCTTGTTTTTCAGTTATCGCTGGATACATCCCTGACACTAACTGAGACACCAGTAACCTTCTTACAGTCAAATCAAAAATACATCTTACTGTCACAAATTCGGCGCAATATACACCGTATGAAATATGCCGAAACCCTTCAGGGTTTTTTCTCAAGGGTTAACCAATCAGTTTATGCCTGACTACATGCACCTGTAAACATGATCTGGCAATCAGACAGCTGACAGGTTAAATGATTAGATACATTTCTACCCCCCCCATTTGTTACACATACACCATGTGCAGTTTTTGTAACTGTCTGTGGCAGTGGAATGTGTTCAACTTGTAGCCTATTGTTGCACATTTACACATGTATCCATATTGGGGCCTTGGAATGTTAACCCCTTCACGTCGGGACGCGTTAAGACATGCCGTAAAAATTGAGATCCTCAGCCCGCTTTTCAGCTATTATTCTTGGCCCACGCTCGAGCAAACACGGTGAAAGAATGCAGACCCTGGCTCTTGTGTATATGGTAATTGGTCTTTGTGTGTAGCCCAGAAATGAAAAGATCGAATTTGCATCATAATCACCAGCTTCACAATAGTCCCCACTTTGAAAAGAGGCAACGGGAACATGGAAGCTTGAGTAGAGCTGCATGCCACCGAACAATCAGCCTTTTCACCGTGTAATTCAAAGCGTGCAGAGCACGCTGGGCCACAAACTGAGAATTTGCGGTTTGGCAGGTGGCCTTCGTGGCCAAGCGAGGCTGGAATTCTTGGAGTCGGTTTTCGGAAAGAATTTGCCGTCAAGAAGGGGTTAAAAAGTACATGTACACGAAGGGAGTTGCATACCTCATTCACATGCTCACATATACATGTATGTATTTATGGTATTCGCTTTTTAAAGTGGCTAATATATATATATCTTGCTTTACAAAAAAACTCCTCTCCCACATTAACTGAGTGGTTAGGGTCTACTAAAGAATACCTACCCAAACAGTCACTACATATGCAAATTTCCCACGCGCATGGCTATTCGCTGAAAAGACTTTATCATCCAAGATGCCCTATGACCTCCCACAATGCACTGTGGTCTCGCCGCCATGTTTGTCCTGGGTAGGTACATGGACATGTACAGTGTAGAGTGCCAAAGACATTTTCTGCCCAAATAATTCTAACTGCAAGTGGTTAACTGAGTAACAAAGAATGTTGTAGTTTTCTGAAGTGCCACAAAGGGCATAAGAGGAATACACAGACACACTGGGCAGACGTACATACACTGTACATGTACATTGTAAGTCATAGAGAAGTGTGAAAGGTTTAGAAAGGATAAGCATACTCAATGCAAATGTACATGCACTTTCAAGGGTTCTTCAGTGTTGTTTGCAAAAGAAATGGGCAAAAAAGGTTGAAGGTTTGATGGGTTAAGGGCCACAGGGGGTAACTGGATTGAAATTTGATTAAAGAAAATGGCACTTCCAAACGTTCAATCTGCACAATTGTATTAATGGTAATTAACTCTGTTTGAAGTCCACAATCTGCATAACTCAGGTGTCACATTAAAATAATAACCCTTATGTCTGTCTGTCTGTCTGTCTGTAATGGCACATGTACATGTACGACTGACATACATGTAAGATTCCAGCAGATAAATGCAAGATTAATTGCACCAGTATTGAAAATGCTCCCGCATACACACAAGTACACGTACACAGCCTGGAGAAAACAGAATAAATCCTTCCAAGTAAAACTGTCACACACAAATGTATAATTTGTGTGTAATCTGCCTTGGGCATTTGATACATACCGGTATATACCGGTACATGTACACATTTCAAAGACAGCAGAGGTGTTTTTGTGGACCACACAGTCAGTGGCAGGATACATACGTGTATGTAAATGAAGAATATTTGTCCAGTAAAAGTGTAAACATCTGCGTAAAAGTACATATACAGTGCTACAGGCGGCAGGTGCCACACTGTGACAGATAAAGAGCTTGAGATGCTCCATGAATTTGCAGCCAGCCTGGGAGCTTTAGAATCCAGTTAAGTTGATTAGTTTTAATTCCTGGCACAAACTCTGAGTATCTTGATTCACAAACTGAATTAGCAGATAAACATGCCTAGCCTCAAGCAAATTGTCAAGGAGCTGCAGCATAGGACAGCATGTGGATAGGCATCAATCTTCACATCATGAAGTACAGGCATGCAGAAGGAATTCACAAAAGAAGTGGACATACCAGTACGTGTAATCCAAAACACACAAGAAGAGACTATGTCATTCTCAGTTTGTAATGGCACACATCTGAAGTCAAAGGTCATGGGGGAGGGGGCATTCAGATTTCATTCATTTTAAAATTCCCTTAAAACAATAGCACCTCAATTTGATGTACATGTAACTCTTCTGCTATAGCAGCGTCTGGATGCTTTTAAAGTTACACCAAATCAGTTTTATCTTGGGGTTAAAATGGTGATTTAACCATCTTGTGGGAGGTCTTTGCACGATAAACTGAAATGGTTTGAAAACTTAGTAGAGTGTCTGAATGGTTTTACATGTAGCTAAACACTTCCTGTTTTATCAAGATGTAGATAAAGCAATAAGTGGAATGAAATAACAGATAATGAATGGATAATCTCATTTAAACTCAGATATAAGAAAAAGATCTTTAGAGTCTTTTCATTCCAATTGAGTTTTAGAAAAAATTTTTTATTTGAAGTAGTCTAATACTAAGTTTTTCATGTTACCATGGAGGACCAAGAACATGTTACAATCACTGTGTATGATAGTTGGTTAAAAGACAAATCACTTTGGCATAGAGTTCTACTATGCGTACATACATGTACATGTAACAGTACATGTACAAGCATAGGCCTACATTCTTATTTAGATGCAGGCCTCACTGTTGATGTCATATTTTTGGATTTTTCCAAAGTGTTTGACCGAGTTTGACATGATCTTCTTTGATCAAAACTTGTAAATAATGGTCTTGGTACATCTAATGTTACTTGGATAATGAGTTTCCTAACAGGCCGCATGCAGAGAGTGACTATCAGCGGAAAATTTTCTTGCTGGTGCTGTGCAACATCTGGTGTACCCCAAGGTACCATTCTCGGTCCAATACTTTTTCTCAGTTTTATCAATGGTATTTCTCTAAACATCCAGTTAATACTCCGTCTCTATACGGACGACTGCATTCTTTACAGGCCCATCCGCATACAAAACAATTTTGACATATTAAAGACCAATTTAAATTTGCTTTGTGATTGGTTGGAGTGTTGGAAACTCAATTTTCACATTGATAAATTTAAACTCTTGAAGATTTCTCGAAAACACACAAACATACCGGTAAGCTACAATTACCGTAGGGCACAACTTGCTGAACACAACCACCGAAAAGTACTTGGGTATCACTATTGAGGATAAACTTAGCTGGCAAGGTCACTGTCAGGAAATTTACAGGGAGTGCACCAAATCACAGGGTTCATTAAGAGAACCCTGCCAAACTGCTCTAGTAACGTTTTTAAAAGATTGTATTTTTCCTTGATGAGGCCCCGGGCAGACTGCTGTTGCATGGCTTGGGACCCATATAGACATAGCCATTCGGACATCATCCAAAATCAACGCATCAGATGATCAGATATACATGTATGTGCAGAGATTGGGACTCAAGCTATGATTGATTGCTCTCTCTCGACTTGGCTGGACAAGTCTTCAAACAAGAAGAAAATTCTTCTGCTTTGCTATAAAATTATGAATAACATTATTAATGTCAATGCTATTAACCCTCCTGTACTGAAGTCACTCTTTGGGTCAATTAATCAGCTGCACTAAGATGCACAGCTGTGTCATTTTGTGCTCTGCATCAACTATCCTACACACGAATATCAGATTGCACTGTCCAACAGCTGTGCCTCACTGTTTCATGTGCATCATTGTGCAGTAAACCAACTGCAGTGAAGAGGACTACACAAAAGAGCCTGTGTCATTTTGTGCTGGCAATCAACTGTACACACATTGAACCTGTGCATATTTGTGTTCCACATAAAAACACATGCACAAGAGTGACTGTTGGCATTCATGCATATCTGTGCTGTTAAACCATAGGAGAATTAATAAGTTTGTGCCAGCTTCACAATTGGCCAAAATGATCA